AGCTGAGTGTGCAAAGATGCTTGATACAATTGGTTGCTACCAAGGCTGTCCGGGCTCGATCCCCATCAGACGGAGCATGAAATTTAAGATCATTTTTTATATTCTAAATTATGAAAATGTTTGGGTTAAAAATTTAAACCGAACTGTTTAAATTCTAAACCCAACATAGGTGCTCTCTTTTTTTAATCTTGGAAGGTTTGTATTTGAAACTGAATTTAGTTTGGTCATATGCATATGTATGTAGTCCAAAAAGTTTAAAATTAAAACCAAAACCTTTAACCGCGCGCTGAGCAAAACTGCTTGAGAAAAAAGCATTAGTTTAATAGCACGAGTGAAACATCGTACACGTGATAGAAGTAAAACTTCTTAAACAAAGCCCATGTGTGCGCCACACACCCGGTAGAAATCTTAACAAAAATATACTACGAGACAATCAGACGAATACAGTTGTTTATTGTATCCAAAGTTGGTACCAAGTTGATAAGTTTTTATCATTTCTCATAATTGGCTTTTAATTTTAATTTTTTCGAATACAGAGGATATGATCATTCTTTTTTGCTTTATTCCGTATACGAAAAATTATATGTTTCAATGGACACATCGCTTTGAATACATAATTTAGATTTAGATAATATTTTTAGCAATTTAGTTGAGAAAAATAAAACATTTAGATTATTGTTGGTATTTAGGTCGATTTTAAATTTGCTACCACAAAATAATTGGTATCAAATAAAACATCTCTTTGAGGTAAAATTTTCGAGTGACGAAAGCCGAACTAGAAACACAAATATATGATATCAATTTCGTGACGAAAATTATACGCATTTTTTAACTGCCTTTGAAGCGTACGGAAAATCTTTTGTTTTATTTATTCGGAACGTTGCAAAATTGCGTCTACTGCTAGAAACACAAAATAAAAAACAGAACTTTTGCAACTATTTTTATTTGATAGTATATACACCAGAGCTGTGTAAGTGTGAAATCATTTTCAATTTTAAATCAACAATTTTTTTCTATCCAGTTTTCATTACTTATTCTTCGCTTATGATTGAGGTTTATAATTTTTTAATTTTCCATTCACTCAAAGCAGTTATGAATTCACACATCAACATATTCATAGCAAGATTGAAAAAACCAATACCCAATCAAAAAAAGGTTTAACACTGAATGAGTATTGAAAAGGCTGCAATCTTTTATGTGTAATTCAGTACCAATCATTAGTTCAAAGACACCCTGGTAAACAACTTTTTGATAAAAAGGCAGATTTTTGACAATTGCTCAATTGTAAAAATTCAAACCGGCGCTACCCAATTTAAGTTTTTAGGTAGAGGGGATTTTATGTCATAAGTTTGGGTTATATATAAAACAGTTGTATCAACATTTACGTTTTAAATATAATTCATATCTTACTTGAAAATGTTTAAAATTTACATTAAATTAGATAACTACTTCGCATAAGCTTTACATTTAGGTTAATAAAATTTTAGTGAAAATATTTTAAAAATCTTAGTGTCTTTAATAAAAAAAAACAGCTCATCATAAAAATTTTATCGCCGTTCGGCGTCGGCGTAAAACTGTAGGTCCCTCCCATTTGTGTGACAGCAAAGGCGCACGCTACAAATCGGAGGAGAAGCTCGGCCAAAACTTAGCAAAAGTGTCAAACAGGTCGCGACCCTCTTCAAAAACCTCAAAAGTATTCCCAATATTATTTAGTTGTGAACCCGCATGAGTCCGAAATTACCATTTTTTACCACAATTTTCAGATTTTATCGGAAATCGTACTTGGTTTTCTGGCAACTGAGAGGACAAATAAGAGAGTAAGCAAGGTTATCTCATTGTCATAAGCTACCAGTTTTAGTCCGACGATTTTTTGGTGGTAAATTCTGGTAAATGTGTCAAAAGGTCCCATGTAGTGTGTTTGACAACCAAATTGTAAACAAAAGAGAAGTGCACTATGCTAATGCATGTTGAAAAGTAAATAATTACTTGTTTGAGTGGATGCTAATGAATTTTGGTTAAATTACAAAATGCTTAAAAGGTTTTAACCGTAATTTTACGTTTAAAAACTTTAAGAGTTTAACACATTACCCTATATGTGCTTGACCATTGAACTAAATCATTGTTTATTTGGTAAAATTAAAATATATTTTACTGTTCAATATTGGAGTTGGTGTGAAACAAAAATTAATAATTTATTGTATGTATGCAAATGAGAACTACAATTAGAACTTATTGTGCATCTCACTTTCAAAAACAATAGCCGTTTTGTTTGATCAAGTTCCGAATCTAAGAAGAAAATGTTTTTAAACAAACAAAAAGTTAATAATAAAATTTGAAGGATTTTAGATATTGCGTATGGTAGCATGAAATGTCACAATCTTCTTAACTGTCAGGTTGTTGATATATCGACGAAAAAGTGACAATGGAACTACCTCCTTTTTGTATCATGGAAACACGTACCTGAAGATTTCATACATAGAGTGGGATAAACTTCAAACCTCTAATATAAGTTTTCGTTTGGAATAATTTTCATGAACTTATCTATTAAGAGATCTCTTTGGAAAATTACCATACATCCTATATCCATTAAAACTTTAACACCACTTTTTGGGGAAACAGAAGTTCAAGATACAAGTTTATGTGCAAAAAATTAGTTAAACACTAAAAGACTCCTAATATTTATGGAACGTATAACAGAAAAATTTTTATTTCATTACCTAGACTTTATGAATATCCTACTCTATAAGTTAAAGCAGAAATTCCGAATAAGTAAGTTCAACCAATTTGCCTGCAATTTCGATCACAATTGAACATTGCACTTCGCTCTCGTTTCGAATTTTTGAAGGCGTTTTTTAAGGTATTTAGTGGTTTAACACTTCTTGGAGGCACTTGGTATTGTAAGAAAAATATGCGCAATTCGATCCCTAACTATATATTTTTTTTTAAAGAACGCCCGTTTTCTTTAAATTTGTAAAATTACAATAATTTTTTTATTTTGTTTACATCTGTCATTTGTTACAATTAAAGAAAAGTCTAAGAGTTGCCAAATATAAACAGTTTTATATCTATTTATAATAATAATAATTTACAATAATGATTTATTTAATTGATACTTCCCTTAAACACAAATTTGAAGTCCTAATACATTTGTAAAACTATTTATCACAAAATGTTATTAATTATTTGCAAGCGTACTATAGTTTTCATGCATTTTGAACAAATAAGGGAATAATGTATACATACGTGTGCGTACTTCCACTCCACAGAAGCATGGTTAGATCCCTGGTCAGATCATAACCCAAAATAGCAGTAGTCCTTCGGCACACAATGGCAAACCTTCAAGTATATTTCCTTGAAAACTCTTCTTATATAATCATTTGGCGTTCGGTGTCAGCCTTAAATAAGTAAGTGTCTCCATTTGTGTCACAACAACAGAACTCATGCCTCAAGTTTCAGGAGAAGCTCGGCCAAACACTTAGAAAAATATTTCAGCACCAAATATTTATTTGTTTAGTTATTTCAAGGGAGATGGCAATCTTCAGATTTCACATTTTGAGTACAAAAATTTCAACTCTGATACAACAAATGACAGATTACATTCTCATAAACGTACAATCATACATGATTGAGTTCTTTTTGCATTCACATTCTCTATGAGAATGGGTCTCAACCATTCCATAACACTCTACATATTTTGTGTTTACGATTTGTAACCAATCTCAAGAGTGGTTGTGAAATTTTTTAAATCAAACAATCACATTTTTGAAACGAAAAAAATGAGAATGCACACTCAATTGATTCAATCATTACACAGCTCTGATATATAACCTATAACCAAAAAATATTTTAGCGAAATTTGCTTCAGTTATTTCTATTTCACTTTAGTTTATTTAATGTTGATTATTTTTTATAAAGTATAGCTCATTGTTTGACAAAAACCAAATGAATCCCAACTTTACACTTATGAAGTGTGCTATTTTATTTATATGGAAGAAAATACATAACGCCATCAGCAAAATAATGAACAAAAATCAATGCGACTTTGTAAAACTATATACCGAAAACTTTTCAAAAAAGTCTGATTAAAAAGTTTCAAATGTTGCTGATTGATGTTATCTGCTACGTTTCTTTTTGGTTTTTACAAAGTGTAAAGTTGGGATTCATTTGGTTTTTGTCAAACAATGAGCTATACTTTATAAAAAATTAATCAACATTAAATAAACTAAAGTAAAATAGAAATAACTGAAGCAAATTTCGCTAACATATTCATTTGGCCATGGGTGTGTTAATAATTTTCTATTCATTCGTAGAATTTTGATGTGATTTTTAAGTTTGAGTTTCTTTTATTTAATTTTCGACGATTTTTTGTTATTTACTTGAATAACTGTTTAGTTTTCGTTTTATTTTGTTGTATGTACATTCAGTGACTCAAGTATAAATTGGGTCAGGCATTTTAAGAAGTTTAGGCTATTTGAATTTAGTTTATTTAATGTTTGTTATTCTTTTATAAAAGCATAGCTGGTTGCCAAATGAAAACCATATAAATTCAAATTGCAGACCATGTGCAAAAATTATGAATAATCTTGTTAATTAGGATCTTTAGTCTTTAGTTTAGAAAGTCTGTAATTTGGATTTATATATATGGTTTTTATTAAGTAATTGGCTATGCTTTCATAAAGAAATAACAAATATTTAATAAACCATAGCAAAATAGCCTAAACTTCATAAAATGTCCCGACCCAATTTATACTTCAGTCATTGAATGTATTCTGTATTCAATCTCAAATTCAAATATATGTATGTATGTACCTAAAGAAAATTGAATTAAAAGACTGAATTTTAAAATAATAAAACGCTATATTTACATGAAAACATTCTTATTATTCCATTGGAAGTTCTTACAGGTAGATACAATTTGAATATTTGGCTTAGGTAAAAAAATTAGCGATCAGTCGGTCCTGTACGCGTTGTGCTATTGAGGATGGGGTATCCAGATTTACCCAAATGTTCTCCGCTGCTGGCTCTGAAAACAAACCATCGGTGTCCGAAAAAACATCATTGAACTCGTTCGTTTGCTCGTACAAGCGAATGTTGTGCAGTACAGAGCACGCACTGACGATTCTTCCAGCAAATCCTGGATCATATAAAAGAACCCTTTGCCGTGATAGACATCGACAAGTTGCTTTAAGGACACCAAATAGCCTCTCCACTGGATTGCGAGCCTTGCACAATGCCTCATTGTAGCGATATTTCGGGGTTCCCTCTGACTGATTTGACAAAGGAGTCATCAGCCATGGCTCCAACGGATAGCCAAAATCGCCTGCAGAAAGAGTTTATGTAGTAACGTAGTATTGAACAATGTACACAAATGTAGTTAAAAATTGTTACCTATTAAAAACATATTATGGTGACCATTTTCGAATGATCGTTGCATTACTCTTCGTACTGCAGATGAGCTCCAAATAAATGAGTCGTGACGTGCTCCAGGATATCTAGCATTCACATCTAAAATTTTCAGATAACAGACCTACATATAAAAACAGGTTTTATAATTTTTATCTTTTATAAAAATTCCCTCTTACCATTTGTACATTTATTGAGTGGTAACCAAGGTGGTTTACATAAGCCTCCTCATGGTTCTTCGGCCTCAAAATAGCGATATGAGAGCAGTCGATAGCTTCAATAGTGCCTGCAAAGAAGGGGAAGAGGCGGAAGCGAAAATTTCCTTTGCGGCTTGCCGCTCCGCTTGTGTCATAGGAAATCGTACCTTGGAGCAGAATATATTATGATAAATAGCATCTGTCACGCGGTGTATGGACCGGCTTATCGATGACTGGCTCATCGATATTCCCCACTGTTCACCTACGGGCCGTTGGAAGCATCCTGTCGCAAAAAATCGTAGGGCAGCTGGAACCTATCCAAGCACAATCGAAAAGTATTTAAATTTGCATTATAACTAAAACGTTTTGTAAGTTACCTGTTTTTCCGTCTCTATGGCGGTTACTCTTGAGCCTCTTAGATGCCCATCAAGCTGCCAAACTAGGTCATCTGCCAAGTTTGGACTTAAGCGATACAATTTCTTGAACTCCGTTGGTCCTAAATGAAATAGTTTGTCCACATTTCTCAACACACGTCGATCCACTGTTGGAGGACTAGATTCCCGCTCGCTCCGAAATAGGGTGTATCCTAAGTACTCGAAAGCCATTTTTAAAAGAAAACGCAACTAAAAACTTGAAATTTCGATTACGCTAACGACACAAAATTTTTTGTCGAGAACTTAGCCACAATCGAAACATTAACGACAACAGCTGATTTTGTCAAAGCGAATTTCGTTAGAGAAACCTTTAATGAATAGCAAAATCGATAAAATTTACTTTTAGCTAACTTAACGATGGGAAAAACGTTAAAGTACCGTAGTGAATTGCACTACAGATGTTAAAATTAACATGTGAAATAAAACTTCGTTAGATTCCTTCCTGGTAATTTTTCGAGTATTATGCTCGCGATACCATCTGAAGTCTTTGTTGCCAGCCACCTGGGCTTCCTCAGGAAAATGCCCTACTGGCAAATGCATACCAAAGGCAATAAATACCAAATGTCATGAACATTTAGTAATTTTTTAAATTCTAGGGCGCCATATTGGATACAGAAGAATGACAGATGTGTCCAGTAAGGAAGGGCGACACATTTTTAGGCGCGAGTGTACGCGGCTTTTCTTTTCGTAGCTCCTCAAAGGACCCCTTGCATTACTTTTTGGTAAAGGAATGAAGATCCTACCCTGCTCTACTCATTAGTTATACCGTTTTGAAAGAAAATATTTCTTGAAAAATAAGCCGCGTTTTTAATGAAAATGAAGGCCACTCCTTTTTGCGCCAGTATGCGCGTCTATTCATTTCATACATCTTTAAAGGATTACTTTTTGGTAGAGGAATGAAGATCCTACTCGGCCCTACAAATTAGTTATACGTTTTTGAAAAAAAAATATTTCTTGAACAATAATCCGTGTCATTAAGATATTCATAATTTGAAAACAAAATTTTATTATGTAATATTTCATATGAAATCAACATTTTCCATCTTTAAGAAGTAACACCAAATCAGATATAACTATTATAATTTAAAGTTTCCATAAAAAAACTGTTAAGAAAGCTATCAACTCATAACTGTTAGAACAAGCCACAATCGAATTCGTTAAATTAACTGGATTCAACGGCTTGCTCAGCACATGTTATTAAAAATACTAACCAGCTTTGAGTTCGCTGGACATTTCTGAATAAGAATGGCTTTACTCCAGTTAATTTATCACAGTTTAAAAATAGGCCTTTTTCGCGTAAAACATGCCTTATCCGACCGCTGTGCGTCGTTTTTAATCTAAAAAAAAACATTTCTATATGCAAGACGGTCATGATTATTCTAAAGCTTGCTTAGCTATTAACAGTTGAACTTTTTGAAGTTGATTTGCATAGTGAAAACCAGTAAAATAGGGATTTAAAATTATATTGTTTAATTTTCTATGAAAAACGCGGTCGTTTTTCAAGAATTATTTTTAAAAGATTTTTCTTTATGACGAGATGGTTTATTTTATGAGAATCAACAATTTTTTGTAATTTGTTTTCGAAAACTTATGTTAAGATATATTTAGTAAGGTGTTAAATATCGGCTTTTTGCAAAAAGTAAAATTTTATTGCGGATTGCGATAAAGTACCTACCCAGATATAATATTTGTACGGCACAATTTTTCTTTAAGGCGAAAAACCCCTAGAAATTGGCATGGCAATTTTAGGACTCAAGTTAGCAAAACGCAGATTCTTTGCGGATTTCGGCAGAATATCGCTTCGTTAACAATATTTGTTCCACAACTTTATCAATACCTATAGAAACTCTGGCGAAATTCACAACAAAGTCTAAATTTTTTAACCTTGGTTTTAATATATCCACGCCCATTTCTAGAATATTCTTTGATTGAAAAAGTTGTGGAATAAATGTTGTTAATACATAATTGGCAATTAATTTGTGTCAAATTCTCTATGCAACCCTGTGAAGTATGTTTAATGAGACCAGCAAAGGGTATGTTTGATGAGAAAACAAAATGTCAAAAAATCGAATGACATATGACATTAAAATATTATTATTAAAAAAGTAAACAAGCAATAGCTGCCAAAATTGATGGTGAGTAAATTTTAACAAATTTTCCATGATAATATGTTTTAAATAATGCACTATTTTAATTTAATGCATTATAGAATCAAAACACAAGAGGAAGAGGATGGGACGGAGTGAGGGGGCGGAATTGGCAATACTGGAGCTATGGGAAGAACGAGTGGGGGAGCTCCGTGGGATGCGTAAGAATGCGCACGTCTACGAAGAGATGGCAGCAGATCTCGCAGAGCTTGGGTATACCCACAGTGCGAGGGATATGCAAGTAAAATTGCAAAATTTTTCGCAGCACTACAGGTATGTTTATACAAAAAAAATGTGGGTATAGTTTAGTTATTTGCGCAATGATTTCGGGCTATTGTGTCCAAATGGATGACCCGATTCAAAAACTTTTTACACACACTGTCAAGGATCTAAGCTTTATTTAAGACCTAATTTTGTAATTTTCGGTGCCTAATTTATTAATAAATTCGAAGGCCGGCAACACGGTGAGGTGTTCTGCACAAAAAAAAACTGTTTACCGAGTTTAGACCGTTCTCCAGTGGTTCCCCAGGAGTCTAAACAAGGCTTCGAGGAGTCAAGTATGACTTTTTACAAAGTTTGAGCTGTGCTCTTTGTACTGGTTTGGATATCAAGAGTCACGCCCCCTCCGCCGACTAACCGAAAAACAGTGGGAAAATAACTACACATTCCCCTAAAATGCTGTATGTAGAATCTTAATTTTTCAATTACACTTGTAGAAAGGAAAAGGCAGATATGGGTCCTTCCGGTGGGTCGCCTTCTACATGGGTGCACTATGAGAGGGTGCACCAAATAATTGGAGGGTTCAAGGCAAATGTCCACACGAATCTCACGCTTGAAAGCATTGATGGTACGTATGCTTTCGTTTATTTGGAATCACTTGGAATGCAAAAATGAAAATTTTGAGAAATCAAGTTCATGTAATTAACATTGTGAAATATGTGCTATCCGTGTATGCATGGTATTCTTGGCTTTTGTATAACGTAGAACATCAACAATCAACTCAATAACTCAACAATTGGTAAATTTGCACATTTATGCTTCTGGCCCATTCAATTTTGGTCTGATAATGTGTAAGTTTTAAGGGGCTAAAAATTACCGCTGATGTTTTAGCATTTTTTTGTCCATATAACGAATTAACACAATACGGCTGTTAAGGATGTTGCGGAAATGGTCTTGGATTTGCAATTGGAATTGCATTTGCAATTGGAATTGCATTTCCAATTTTTTTGCTTGCTGCCATGGCAACCGCGTGCATATTATTGTTGTGAATTTACAAATGCAACGACTATGCAAATCCAAGACCATATGCACGAAATCCTGAACAGCCCTAGTTTATTTTTATAGGGAAGAAATCCGCAACACCTTCAGCGGAAAAAAAATCTAAAAAATCAGCGGTAATTTTTAGCTACTTAAAACTTGTACTTTATTGTTCTTAAATTTAATGGGCCACAAAACTCCGCACTCGAAAATTGCCTTAAAACGTGAATACAATGTTTATTGCCCGCAGCTTTGTAGGGCACTCTCGTAAAATTTCCAATTCATTAACCTTTTTAACACGTTTCTTTATCGTATCGTAACCTTTATTTACAAAGGCTTTTCTAAACTGGATTTTTCACTCATTTTGGTAGGATATATTAAAATGCACCTTCAGTAAAAATTTTAAAGTGTTAGCATTAAAAACAACAGGGTTACATGCTACTTTTTAAAAGGTCCTACCTGTTTTTGATATACTTTTTTATAGTTGTTTGCTCCTGTAAAGTAAAAAGTTCGTTGATTTTGGCCTTTGTGAATTAAGGTAACGATATACAATAAGCAAACATCTTTTCATTTTACAATTAAAAAACGTTTCATTGTATTAAATTTTTAATGTTCACAAAAATGTTTCTTTCAAACAGACTTATCAAAAGCATCGTGATCCACTACACTTCTCCCGTCCCCAGGAACACCGTTGCCATCACCCTCGTCGCCACTGCCCTCACCAGTACCTTCAACGTCAGCGTTGGCTGGAAAAACAAAAAAAATATAATTTCCAAGAAGAATTATTGGAAAAATTTGACAATTTATCGTCGGACATTGCTGAACATTTAAAGAGAAGAGAAGAAAATGAAAAGGATAATAAGGTTAATAGAGATAGAAAAAAAAGCAGAGGTACAGGAAAGAACTGCGAAAGCCAACGAGGAAATAAAACAAGCTCTGATATCTTTTTTAAATAAAAATTAATCTTGTATTTCAATAATAACACTACACTGCGTTGCATAATTATAAGACCGCCACATATTAACAAGTTTTGACTGCTTAGTTTTATATTATTTAATTTCAACTATTTTCCTATAAAATCATAGTTCATTCTATAACAAACACGATACAAATTCACACTTTCAACTTTGTGAAAAAATTATAAAAATTTAGAAAATTTTCATAAATGTTTGGGCAGTTTTATAGCCCATTCAATTCCAGTACCAAAAAGTGCAAGTTTGAAGTAGCTACAAAATCTCGTTGATTTTTGGCAATTTTTTATTAAAGGTGTCACTCATTTTCTTCCATACAAATTATTTTCGAACATTTTTTTGTATGGAAGAAAATCCACACCGTCAACAGAAAAAATTGCCAAAAATCAACGATATTTTGTAGTTACTTCAAACTTGGACTCTTTTGTACTGGAGTTGAATGGGCTATGAAACTGCATGCGCGAATTGTTTCCAAAAACTCTTAAAAAAAAATATTTATGAAAATTTGCTAAATTTTTATAATTTTTCCACAAATTTGAAAGTGTGAATTTGTATCGTGTTTGTTATAGAATGAGCTATGATTTTATAGGAAAATAATTGAAATTATATAATAACAAACTAAGTAGTCAAAACTTGTTAATATGTGGCGGTCTTATAATTATGCAACGCAGTGTAGTCGACAAAAAATCCGACCTGTGGAATTTGACCATCACTTCTAAAGTAAAATTTCCCGACGAATCTGAATATGAAGTGAAAAGCAAGTAGTGTTTGCGATAAAGATTTTTTTTTAGTTCTT